GTTTTGTCTTTCTAACACAAGAATTTCCTTGAGAGAAGAAACTCTGTTAGAGGTAGTCATTGTAATAGTTATTATAGTGTATTCTTAGAAAACTCCTCTGAAAGAAGACAAAGAATATCCCTTCTGTTTCCACTGTAGAGTCACTGTGTGTGAGGCAACCTTTAGATGGTATTTCTGAATTGGAAATGCAAAATGTTGTCTACATTTGTAGAGTGTCAAGAAAATTAAATCTAAACTGAGAATGATGAAAGAGATCACTTTCTGTATAAAGTATAAATTGGAATAGAATTGCTGAACATAATCTTTTGTTTCAGGACCCTCTTGACAAGCCCTCAGGGCCCACTTTTGTCATTGTTTCTTCTGGGATTCAGCCTGCTTTCCTCTTCACAGTTGCCACCTCCTGCTTTTTCCGCCTGAGTTCTTTGGGTCTGGCTTTGCCACCCGCCTGGGAAGACAGCTTTCCAAGATTGCATCCCCTTTCCCTTTATTGCTGCCCTTAAGGACAGATACTCAACTGATTGTATTTTAAGGGCTTTTACTTTTTATCATCAAAAGAAAATGTAATTGGAAAATAACAGATTTTTTGTGTTACATATTTATAAAAATTGCAGGTTTAAATGTTTCCAGTCCTTTTTGTTTTCAGATGGAATGATAATCAAGTACTTAATCTGAAAACGGTTTCCAAGTATCTTATATTGCTCTATTGAGAAGTGAATGTGCCTGCTTTCCCGTAGGTATGGCATGCATAACTGGTCCCTGGCCCCGAAGCTTTTATATTATCCCAGCAGGTCCTTTTATTCAGTTGAAATTTTGTAGATTCCTATAGTAAAAAATTTAATATCAGTAAGAATGCCAAAACAACTGTTAACCTTTATTTAACAAGTTGCTGTATTTGGGTAGGACCTTTTTGGGTTGATAATCTCTGTCCTGCATGTCTAGAACTTCAACTTACAGCTTTTCCGTGGGTGATCCTACCTTTGGAAAAATAACTTTTGCTACCCACACACACGTGATCCTGACTAGTAGCAGATATTTCATTATGGTATTGAAAAGTGATTCGGAATCTATATCAAAGGTTTAAAAAATGTATATACCATTTGATTCAACTGATAAGTGAACTGATTTTTTCCAGTATTAAAAATCAATTGACTCATACTAAATTGATCATCACATTTTTGCTTTCTTACTAACTACAATAGGGCAGTAATGTGTCCCTTGGCTTGTTGCTTGCTGTGTAGTTATCAGCCAATAAATCAGTGATTCAACTAGTATTTATTTATTCTTGTCAGCTAGTTAGCACATATTTATAGGTTTAGCAGAGTTAATTATTCCATAAACAAAGTAATGAACCATAAGTTCTTTAATAAAATCTCACAGCATTTATAATATTAAATAATTGAAACGTGCATGTATTTTTGACAAAAATAATATATATATGCTTTTATAAGTTATTTTTCATTTTATTTTTACTTGTTACTGTCTTACCATGTTAATAAATATAGACCTTGCTTATCATTTTTAATGATTATATACTATTCCACTATGTGATTGTACCATAGTTTATTTAACCTATCCCTTATTGGTAGACTTTTATGTTGATTTCAGTTTTTATTTTTAAATAATGTTACACTAACATTTTGGTTATGCATCACATGTACTTGTGTGTTTACTTACTTTCATAGAATAAATTATAGAATAGATTTGCTGGATCAAATTTTAAGAGCTTTTAATGTAAGTAGCCATTTTTTTAAATACCAACTAGTATTACATTCTCACCAATAAATAGTATTTGAAAATGTTGGAATGTTGACAATGTTCTTTTCCCTGCACTCGCTCCTGTACTACATTCTATCATTGTTATTTTGCCCATCTGATTGCCCTTTCGATTGACAAATATAATGTTATCTCACATTTGCATTTTTTTATTAGTAAAGTCGAATATCTTTTCATGTGTTTACCATTAGTATTTCTTTTCCAAATTTATGTTCTTTTTCCATTCTTTCTATTAAAGTGTTATTCTTTATCTGTTTTTTTAAATACATTTTATGTATTTTGCTAAGCATATAATTATATTCAAATATATCTGTGCTCTTTTAAATTATTCTATTTCAGGATAGCATTTCTCAAAACATGATTTATGGACCACTTATAACTATACCTGAGATAATTGTCAGAATGTGTGTTATTCTATAGAGATTAAGATTTCTTAGACCTGTGGGGGGAATTCATGAATCTGCCACTCATTAAAATTAGAGAACTGCTGATTTGGGGGACATAAAATTTGTTAAGATTTTTGCTGTTCTTATATTTGTCTCACCACAGTTGACTTTAAAATATTTTTTTAATATTCATAAACTACAGTCTTGGTACATTAAGATTATTGTCTTAGCCCAGCCTAACATAATAGATTTTACAAAGATTTAAAAAAAATGTTTTACTGTATGGTTATATGGATGTCATAGGGCATAAAGAAAGCTTTTAAGACAGTGGGAAGCTTTACTGGCAAATGAGGCAAAAGGAATAATTGAGAGGAAATCAGGTAAAATAGGTGGAGAAAGCAGAATGTGTAAGAGGGTATATCATCCAATTTAAAGACCCATTGAGGTATTTCTCAGTTTCTTCCTCGTTTTATTTTATTTTTCTTGGTTCAAATATTACATTTATTACTTATTCATTTATTTTTTCACTCATCAAAAGTTTTATCAAGCTTCTACCTAATGTGCTAAAGACTCTTCTAGGTGTCAAGTAGTAGGGCTTATATCCAGATGGGGAGAGGACAGACAACAAAATATAAAAGCAAAATTATAATATGTTGGGAAATGATCAGTACTAAGAAAAGTAAAGCAGGAGATTAGGAGTACTAAAGATAGGAGTTAGGATTGCAATTTAAAATAAAATAGTTGGGACAGAAAGTAATCTAACTATGGGAGAGGAACATACAATACAATGTAGATATGCTTTACTGTTAAATTATACACCTGAAACTTACTGGATTTCATTAATGGCGCCAAAAATGAAATAAAAATAAAATATCTTCCTCAAGTTTTAGATGATAGTTTTCTTTGAACTGTAAATTTGAAACTCATCACTGCTTGAGAAAATAGATTTGTCCAATGACAAATATTCGAAATTCTCATGTTCATATTTAATAGGGAGCAATGTTCCCTTAAATTTCTTTTAGTTGCAAGCAGATAAACATGCTGTATAAGCAACAAACTACAAAGACAACTTATATGGATGTTTTAATGCTATAAATAAAGCTTTCAGCAGGTATTTGACACATTTTTAATGATATGCATAATTGTTACTGTGCTGCATGGTAATTATGCTTAAATAAAAATGACTTTGTTTAATATCAGTTTTCTATTGCCAGACTTCACATTTCTGGGGCCAGCTTGAGGAAGGAAAGAAATATGGCAGGCCAAGAAGCTTTTGCAGATTTCCAATTTACAGATATTGGTATAGACAGATTAGGCATCTGGGCAGGAATTGCTCATAACTTTAGTGTCCCTAATTCTAGAGGTCACACACACTTTCCTTTTCCTTTCCACTACTTAAGACCATCTCCTAGAGGGAGAAATTGGGAAGATTCAGCCATTGCTTTCTTTCTCCAAATAGTTTTTTCTGCTTAGTAACTAAAGCTTGGGATGCAGAGGTCCCAATCATTGATAGTGCACAAGGGACAATTTCTTGCCCTGCTTAAGCTAAACCAGTTTCAAGTCTCAAGGTCTAAGTTGTCATGAGCCCTAATATTTCTGTTGTCTTATCAACCTGTCTCTGAGAATTTCTGAACCTGAATTTCTCATGTTTTCCCAAAGTAGGCTCTCTACAGCAAACACAGAAGTAGCTAATGCATATGAAAGAAAATGAAATAAAAGCAAATTTAACATCACTAAATCAAATGAAAGTATGATAAAATATGCTTTTTTCCTACTCGACCTGCCTTCCACTCTACCCATACCCTCCCAGACCCAAATGAGATACATATTTTTGCCCCTAGAAAAGTAGGGTCAAGTCAGAGATTCTAAAG